ATATATATATATATAAAGAAGCATTATCAAGGAGAAGCCGCCTAGGACGCCTGCCTTCTTCTTCTCCCTGCTCTCTATACACCTGAAACGGTGTGAGATTAGCTGGAGCGCCGCTGTATATATGCGGGTTATAGGGGTGAAGTTGTTGGGGGCAGAGATGGCTGTAAATCCTTCAAATATATAGGCTTGTAAATATTTAAGTCGAATTAAATGCTTTAATTCATTTCTTTTGTGTACACTCCAACAGCTAGTTCTGCGGTTGGCAGCTAGAGATAATGGCTGCTGCCTGCAGCAGCAACGGGAGCTCTAAACGCTCGCTGAATATCCATCAATTCTTCTTCTTTTTATTCTAAACATTACCAGAACTACTCTTTCTGAACTATTTTTAGTTTTTTGCCTGCATTTACGAGGTTTTCATTCGCAACAAATATATACACCCTACGCCTCCTGCGCGGGTGACCACGTAGTAAACAACCTGCACATACACCCGAACTGCAAGCTCTACCATTTAAGCAGTAAGCCAGTGAAGATCTATACATTTTTGCATTGAATCAAGCCTTAAATGATTGATTTTTCAATGGGATTTCAGCTTATTCATTAAACCCAGACGTTTGTATGCATTTTTATGCATTATCGATGGGGGGTTCTAGCAATCGCTAGCCTTGAGGCATCATTGCGCCGATTTGCGGGTTTTGTTTGTTGTTGGGGTGTCTGTACAGCTGAAGATGGATTCGAGTTCATCGCTGCAAAAGAAGGTTGAGTTTCCTGGAGAGAGGAGGAATGTGGGCCTACGTTTAGTATCCCTGCTGTATGCAGCGTTGTCTATTTACTTACTTACACAATCAGGACAACCTCCCAACAGCCCCACGTACCCTACGGCTCTTTCATTGATAACAGCAACAAATTCCTTTGCTCTACTCGGAAGCATTTTGGGGTTTCTCGTAACGCTCCATGCGTGCATGCACAAGACCCTAGCTAGCTTGACTGTCTTGTCGTTTACAGTCTCCTTCTTCCTCGCCGTTGCTTCTGCTCTTGCAGTCTTCTTCAGTTACTTCAGCATCTACTGGATTATCTTCACTGGTGTGCACATATTCTGTTCTATGGTGGCAGTAGGCGCAGCCTACGCACAGTTTAGGGGGCTCGTATCTCAAGAACAACTTGAGGAGACAGTCCCTATTGCTGCATCTCTACCGAAGGCTACGGAAGCAGTTTAGCAATATATTATTCATTGCCAGCATACAAACCTAGACTCATGAGGGGTTAGGGTTTATACAGTGTTGTGCGAGCCCTTTTGTAGTAAGTGTTTATTGTTTCTTGCTCTTATAATGGGGTGTATCTGCACATATCGATGGATATCTGCTTTTATTCTGCTGTTTCTTAACGCGCTCAAGACAACACCCTCCACAAAGAAAACGAGGGGAAAACAAAAGCCTACAGGGCATGCAACAAGCACAACGCCTCTCAGCTGTACAGACAGCTTGCATGCAAATACCCCCCTGCAGTGTATGCATGATACATACAGGGGAATTGTGTCTCCTTTGTATGCACAGCAGCAAATAGAGAACAATAATCTCATTTGATTTTAACTTGAATTTTTTAATCCCTAAGAAAGCTTTTATTAATAATGAATATTATTGTCTATACCTGAACGCATGCAGAAGAACAGCATGCACGAAGAGGCACAGTAATGTAGTAAAACAAATGGGGCCCTCAAGTTGTCTCCTTTGTTAATTCTGTCTCTTCTTTTCTTTTGCGGAATTTGGCGATAAAAAAGCCAATTGTGTCTCCTGAAGGACAGAAGCGCTGCACTCCCCTCACTGCATGCAGCATTTGGGGTGTATGTACAGCTGAGTAGAAGGGCTCTGCTTGTTCGAGAGACAAGGGGAGGTTTTCTAGGGCCCAAAGCACATTTTCTTCATTCTCTGCCCAGCTAATAGAACAAGTAGAGTACACTAAAACTCCTTCAGGTCTAAGGAGCTCGCAGCCACGGGAGATGAACCTGCGCTGGTATGCAGCAGCAGATTTCATAGAGTGTATATCCACCTCGTTGCAGATAATGTGGGGTCTTAGCCCCAACCCTGTACAGGGTACATCTGCTAATACTTTATCAAAACAGCCTTTTAACTGCTGCGCTTCTCCTAGAGAGCAGCACCAGTCTCCTTTTGCGCTGTCTCCTTCAATAACTTGTGCAATTGAAACCCCTAAAAGAGACAAAAGCGATTTCATTTCGTTTGCTCTCTTTTTGCTTCTCTCTACTGCAATCAATACCCCTTTATTCTTCATTAAAGAGGCTATATGTGCTGTCTTATGCCCTGGGGCTGCACACATATCCAGCACCAGGTCCCCAGGAGAAGGAGACAGTACGTATGTAGCAATGCATGAAGGCAGCTGCTGGGCGACTAAACAAGAAGGTAGAGAAGACAAATTGCATGCGCTGCAGCAGCAAACAAACAAACAAACAAACAAACAAACAAACAAACAAACAAGCATACAAACACACACAAAGCAATCTCATTCCTCCTTGCTACGCAGCAGCAGTGTATATATATATATACATATATATGTATATATATATATATTTATTTATTTATACATATATGCATATATGTATATATGCAAAGGGGTATGTGTGGGGTGTACGTACTTGTGCATTCTGATAGCGAGCCCTTCGCCAACCTGAAAGACGTCTTTGAGGTGCTGCTCTAACACCCCTCTTCCGCAGCAAATGCCAGACGCTCGGATGAAGTGCTGCTCCTCCTCGCCTAAGTACGCTCCCCTTAGGATTGTTAGAGCACGCTTACGTGCAGCAGCAGCAGCAGCAGATGATGATGATGATGATGATGATGATGATGATGATGATGCTGCAGCGGGAACAGCAACTGCTGCTTCTGCTGAGTCTGGTGCTGGTTTTTGTACTGCAGCAGAGCTGATGCTGCTGCAATTGATGCTGCTGTTGCTGCTGCTACTGCTGATGTTACTACTGCTACTACTGCTGTTGCTGCTGCTGTTGCTGCTGCTGCTGCTGCTGCAGCGGAAGGGTTGAGGCACAACCCAAACTGATACTACAGCACCTCTTTTTATTCCTCTTTCTGCTGCCAATACACCCCGAGCAAAAACATGAGACCCCCGAAGCACCGACTGCCCACAGCGGGGCCCCACAAGCACCATGGGGGGCCCCTTTTTGGGGGGCCCCTCTTCATAGGGGGGAGAGGAGGGCCCCCCTGCTGCTACGGAGAGAGGAGATGTAGACGGAGATGAGTCTGCTGCAGCAGCAGCTAGAGGCTGCTGCTGCGGCCAGGGGAAGATGAGAAGGTCTGGGAAGTTGGGGTGTATAGACCCCTTTAAGCCCGTGCATGCTTCTGCTTCTTTTAAGGCTGCTGCGGTGTCCGTACACCTCAATGTGTTTACACGCACCGTTACGATGGGTGGAGGCCTCAAGAGACAGTTTAGGAAAGCATCAAAAGAAGAGAAAGAAGATGCATCATAGGGACAGTGCTGTTTGAGGTGTCTATACACCTCAGGACACAGCAAATCTCGAGCAGCAAAAGATGTTGCTGCTGGCTGTCCCTCTCCCGCTTCCATTGCTGCATGCAGCTCCCCACGCATGCAAACAAAGCCCCGAGACAACACCAATAAGCCCTACTAAACAAATATACTAGACTGCTGCTGTTGCTGCTTTCTTTTGCATAGCACTCCCGTCCTCTCTTCTCTTCAAACAATTCAATACAATATCAAAAAAACAATTAAATTAAAAGAATAACTCACAGCCAAGCACTAACTATCGCCACCCCAAACAGAAACAAAAAAAATGTGAGGGTTTAGGGTTTAGGGTTTAGGGTTTTCTGTTTAGGGTTTAGTTCTTAATTCCTCCTCTAGCCAAACCGCTACCTACCTGCATCATATCTGTTGAGAATTCTGGAGGCCCCTAAGGGGGCGCCCAAGGGGGGCCCCTCAAGGGGCCCCCCTTGGGCCCCCGAGGGGCCCCCAATTGTCGGCGGAGGGGCCCCCAGCGCCGATGCAGCAGCTGCTACACCCCTACCTGTTTCTTGTTGTTTTTTTAATGTGTTGAGATGTTAAGGGTTTTTATATATCTCTGTTTCACTATAGGCATCAAGAGAGCAGCTGTAGACACCTAGAAGCAAAACTGCTGCTGCTTGGGGGCCCCCGGGGGCCCCCCATCTCTAATCTGTACCCTCCTGAGTACCTATGAACCCTTTTGCTATTTCTGGGGGCCCCGGGCCTCTCTCTGATCCTAACCCTTACAAAATAGACGTACAGGGGGCCCCCTCCAGGGGGGAGGGGGGGCCCCCCAGCAGTTGCATGCGACGTGTCTCTGCTGTCTATCACACAACGGCCACCGAATCCACCTCCCCAACCTCTGGGGCCTTCCCTTGGGGCCCCCCTGGGGGCCCCTCAGGGGGCCCCTTTGGGAGTTCCTCTGGGGGCCCCGGTGGTTACCGCCCTGGGGGCCCTTCTGGGGGTGGCGCTCAAGGGGGCCCCCAGGGAGCTAGAGGGCCCTCTAGGGGCCCCCGTTCAGGGGGCCCCCTCACTGGGGGCCCCTCGGGTGTTGCGTTTGTAGGTGGGGGACAGTTAGACCACTTACTATGTTCAATTGTGCTTGCAAAGAATGATAGATCTCGCCTATCTGCTTTGCTTACTCTGGAGGCAGACTGCGAAGTGCTGCTGTCAGACACTCAGAGACTGCATGCAGCCTTTACTGTTCTTGATGCCGTGCTGTGCAACTGTAATTCTTTTAAGTTCAAAGCGAGAGGGGGCCCCCGCAAAAGGCCGGGGGTAGAGACACTGCAGACAGCATCGAAGTCTCTCAGCACTTCACAGCAGGGGCCCCCAAAGGGGCCCCCAGAAGAACCCTCAAAGGGCCCTACAGAGGGGCCTACAGAGGGGCCCCCAGGGGGGACCCTAGAAGGGGGCCCTCTTCAACAGCAAACGGGGGCAGAAGGAAGACGTACACCGCAAGCAGCAGCAGAACCAACAGGCTTGGGTGCTGCTGCTGCCTCAGCAGCCAGCATAAACCGGCAACAGCAGCAGCAACAGCAACAGCAGCAGGAAGGCATGGTGCAGCTGTCTCCTTCTGGGCCTTCCTTAGACAACTCTCCAAGGAGTCCCTTCCCTGCTGGCCGCAGCGACGTGTCTGTATCCCCCGAACCTGCTTCAACCAGCAGCAACAGCAACAGCAACAGCAACAGCAGCAACAACAACAGCAGCAGCAGCAGCAGCAGGCGTGTGCGGGGTTGTGCTTTGTCTGTTTCGGACTCTCATGTGTTAGTGCCTCGCCCCTTCTCTGTATTATCTCGTATGCTAGCTATGCAAACATGGGTCTCAATTGCAGCAGCAATAAACTGTCTCCTTGTCGCCCCTCATTGGCTGGAGCGCCTGGTGGGGCTGCTGCATGCACTCGCCAGCAGCAGCGCAGCAGCAGCCCCACACCCCATCAGGGCCTCCGCATGCATTTGTCTTGAAGAGCTAGAAATCTGCTTCCCAGGTAAACAAACATGCACCAACAACATTATCTAATTATATATACTGTCTCCTAATGCAGCAGTCATTCAAACACGGGACCCCAAAACACAAACAAATAAAACGGGGGGCCCCTGAGAAAGGGGCCTCTGAAGGAGGGGCCCCTCGAAGAGGGGCCCTTGAGGGGGGGGCCTCTCCTCAAAGAGGGGCCCCTGAGAGGGGGGCCCCTGAAAGAAGGGCCCCTGAAAGAAGGGCCCCTGAGAGGGGGGCCCCTCAAAGAGGGGCCCCTGAAAGGAGGGCCCCTGAAAGAAGGGCCCCTGAATGTGGGGCCCCTCAGCTTCGCTGTTGCTGCAAACTGTGTCGCTGGTGTCTCCTCAGGCCTTTTGTCTCCTTTCTTGGGGCCCGATGGATTCGGAGACCCTTCCACTGTCTCTGGTGCGGGGCCCCTGGATCTGCGCTATATCGCTTCTCTGGGGGCCCCTACGGGGGGCCCCCTGTGGGGGCTCCCAGGGGCCCCCCGTGAGGGGACCTCTGGGGGGACCCGTGAGGGGGCCGCCGGGGGGCCCCTCTTCCTGACAGACATAGTTCAACGCGAAGCCCCTTGGGGGGCGGAGGCCCCTACGATGCTGCTGCTGCGGTGTCTCCGTCATCATTGTGAGAGTGCAGTTTGTGAGGGACAACTAATTAAAGAAGAAAACGAAGAAAGGAGACAGATAAAAGACAGTGCTCCCCTAGAAGGAGACAGCTGCGTAGACACCCCAAATGAAGCTCTCTCCTCTACATCATCCCTCGCTGGAGACACACTTAGCCCTATCCCTTGCCTTCACAGAGACCTGCAGGAGGCTTCTTTAACAGGGGGGCCCCCTGGGGGGCCCCCAGGGGGCCTCCTAGAGGGACAGACAGGCCGAGCACAGGGTACAGTTCCAGCGCCGCTGCACTACAGAAGTAAGGAGGACTCAACGGGGGCCCCAAGGCCCCAGCAGCTGCAGCAGGAGCAGCTGCTGCTGTTGTGCTCTCAGCGACCACAGCAGCAACAGCAGCAACAGCAGCAACAGCAGGAGCAACAGCAGCAGCAGCAGCAGCAGCATGAAAGGGGTGTTTGCTTTGTGTTGCATGCGTTCGTTCTTCACAGTCCCTTCCGTCGGGGTGTCTCCGGTGCCTCTACCCGCCTTAACCCTCAACAGCAGCAGCAGCAGCAGCAGCAGCAGCAGAGATATATGCCTAAGGCCTCCCCGGTTGCTTCGGCCACTAACTGTCTCCTTGAAGAATACCCTCTCTTTGGTGTTAGAGGGACTGTGGGGATATGGAGACTGGGGTCAGCTCTCCGTCTGCATGCACCTCGCCTTCTTCTCGCGGTAACGCCCCCGACGCTGCTGCTGCTGCTGCTGCTGTTGCTGTTGCTGTTGCTGCTGTTGCTGTTGCTGCTGCTTCTGTTGCTGCTGCTGCTGTTGCTGTTGCTGCTGCTGCTGTTGCTGCTGCTGCTTTTCCTGATGCTCATGCTGCCGCTGGTACTGCTGCTGATGCTGCTACTGCACTTATATATATATATATATATATATTTACTTATGTTTGTTTGTTGTTGATGAGAGCGCAGTCTCCTCTGTCTCTCGGCTTTCTCGTCTTTAAGTGCAGTAGCACCATTCCTGCTTTCTTCTCGTTTACACCTTCTTCATTCTTGGGGTCTCCTTGTGGAGGCCCTAAGCCCTTTAACCCCAGAGACATGGCAGGGGCCCCCATTGGGGGCCCCCGGGGGGCCCCTCTCTATCAAGCTGGGGGGCCCCCATGCCCCTTTACTAGAAGAAAGATTAAGGGCACTCATCGTCGAGCAAACGCTTAGCTCTCATTTTCGTGTACTTTGCATTAGGTAATAGAGAGGCCCCCTTAACTCTTCTACACAAAACACATGCTTATCTGATCAGGGGCCCCCTAGCAAGGGGCCCCCTATTTCAATAACCCACAGAATATACATAGGCTCAGGCCGACGGTTTGGGGTGTATGCGCAGGTGGTATTTCTGTGCTGGGGTGTATATGTGGAAGGCGGTATATATTGGGGTGTATATGCAGGTTTTATATATATGTTGGGGTGTATATGCAGATTGTATATGGTGGGGTGTATACGCAGGTGGTAAAATTTGTTGGGGTGTATGTGCAGGTTGTATATTGTTGGGGTGTATGCGCAGGTGGTATATGGCGCTGATGCAGCACCCGCGTTTTGCTGCAGCATTTTCTGCTGCCCCATCCTCAATCTTCTGTCCCTCTGCTGGCGACCCACCTTCAGTAAAGGAGCAGCTGTTACAGGCGTTGCTGCTGCACTGCAGCAGCAACAGCAGCAGCAGCAGCAGTGGCAGCAGCGGCGGCCGCAGGGGCCCCCCTTGCAACCTGTTTGATGTCTGTGGGGTTATGTACGAATTTACTTCGATTAAAAGGGCCCCCGAAGTGCATGCAGTGGTCTTTAGATTTTTACTGAGGACTTTCCTTCAGCCCCAACTCTCCTCCCCACAGCTCCACACCTTTCTTTGCGAGCACCTCAGGTAGTGCATGCACACATTACCTGCATGCATGCATGCATGCATGCATGCATGCATGCTGCATGCATGCGCCTTAGGGGAACACAAGGGGCCCCCTGGGCCCCGTAGAACCATTGGGGGCCGTTCAGGGATTCAGAGCATCGATGGAGGGACATTAAAAGAGCAGCGCTGCTGCAGCAGCTACAACCGCAGCAGCAAATTGTTGCGAGAGCAGCAGCAGCAGCAGCAGCAGCAGAAGGGGCGTGCGTTTGCTGTTGCTGTGCTGTTTTCAGGTGTCACCCAGTGGAGTTGGGGCCGAGCGTGCTGCTGCTGCTGCATCACGCCTCGCGCGCTACTGCTGCTGCAGCAGCTGTTGCAGCAGCAGCTGCATCTGCTGCTGATGGCGCTGCGAGTGCTGCTGCTGCTGCTGCTGCTGCTGCTGCTGTTTGGGGTACTACAGGAGGAAGGCCTCGCGAGCTGGGGGGCCCCCTATTGTCGTCTGTCTGCCAATCATTGCTGCTACCTCTTTCTCGTTTCTTAGGGACCCTCGAACCTGCTGAAGATTTAGTTTGCTTCTCTCCGCTTCTTCTTGAGCTGTCTGTACACCCCGCCATCGACCCGCAGCACCTCCTTCCTCTCCTCACCCGCCTCAGCTTTGCTGCTGCTGCAGGAGACAAAGGAGACAGACACCGCAGCTGGAGGGCCTCCCTCTGTCTCCTCGCAGTCACTAAACAGGTACTTCCCAATCCACTTAACAGTTTAGGGGGCCCCCCACTTTTCGTGGGGGCCCCATTGGGGCCCCCTTTAAGGGCCCCTTATGGGGGCCCCTTGTGGGGACCCCTTATGGGGGCCCCTTGTGGGGGCCCCTTGTGGGGGCCCCTTGTGGGGGCCCCTAGTTTGAAGGAGACTGCTGCCTTCTTCAGGGGTCGGAGTGGTGCTCCAGGCGCGTTCCACTGGCTGTTGCTGCTGCTGCTGCTGTTGCATATGCTGCTGCTGCTGCTGCTGCTGCTGTTGCTGCTTCTGCTGTTGCTGCTGCAGCTGCTGCTGACGCACAAGGGAAGCAGCGAAGTGCGCGAAGGGGTCGTAGGCCTTCTACAAACTGTGGCGCTTGGGGCGGGTGGTTTCGATACCCGACAAGAAGCAGAATTGCTGCTGCGGGCCCTCAGCAACGCCAGCCCTAATGCTCTCAGTGAGACTTCCTTGCTGCTGCTGCTGCTGCTTCTGCTGCTGCTGCTGTTGCTGTCGTCATTGTTGCTGCTGCTGCAGATGCAGCATTCAAAGTGTTGCCGCTGCTGCTTCTGGCAGTAATAAGATGATGGCGGTGGTGCACGCTGAGCTGCTGCTGTTGCTGCTTCGTTTATTGGGCGTGCTGCTGCTGCTGCTGCTGTCTGTGCTGCTGCTGCTGCTGCTGCAGTGGCGTTGCTGACGCCTGGGGGGGAACAGCTCGAACCCCTTGTAGAGCGCTATCTGT